CCGGGACTGCTTTAATGTGGGTATCGTCCTCCACAAGGCAAAAGGACCAAAGCACTGCTACATCCCTGCAGGTCCCCTCCAGGGTTTCTCCTTCTCAACCACAGAGTGTTACAGGAGAGGAGGGGACAATGGTGCATCCCCCCCTTTCAAGAGGCCAAAAAGCCTCATTTTGACAGAGCTGGAGGAACCAAGGATGTCTAGGCTTGTGACTTGGGTAGTAAGAACAAAATGCCAGCAACAAACTCAAAACTGTGCCAAAGAACACTTCCACCATGCACATCTTTATTTTAAGAACCTAGTAGCTATATTAATTTGTCTTGTTTAAAAAGCATGACAAGGAACAGGGCATGCTCCCAGAGAAATTACTGTATTTTTACCATTCTGCTTAGCCTCAGTCTAAATATTCATACCCATCCTTAATGTAAAGCTACAAAGCATGTCTTTGTGTCTGAGTTGCTTGATTATCTCAACTGCTGGGAGATTGCTGGGGAGGGTAAGGAAGGAAAAAAACAGACTAGTTTTATGGGACTGGATGGTATTTCTATAATGTTTCTCTGAGTTTTTTCCCCATATCTTGTAAAATCAGTTTTCTTTTGAAAGTGTAATTGAAGAAATGAATACTGAAAATCACAATCAAATCTAAGAGAGAGGTGTCTCCGGACAAACTTGGCAGCAACACACACACCAATTCCCAGCTCATTCATGGAAAGACGACACTTTTTGCATAAGCACATACAGCAGCGCAAGCCAGCGATGTTCATGTTGCCCTCCCAAAATACATGTTTTCAGAGGCAAACACAGAGCCATAGCATAGCCATTTAAAAAGATACAACTCAACATGTTTACTCCTCTTAAAATTTAGTTTATTATCGCAGCAATCAACAACCAAGAAAATCCATGTAGTGACTGAGGGTAAACTATGACAAATGGTATCATTCATTAGAGCTTAAATGAATGACCTTCCCATTTTGTTAACTAGTTTTGACTGTTTCACGTTAAATCAAGTATTAATAAATCGAGTACTTGATTTATAAAAGTAAAGATCACCTAGTAATTCATGTGAAGTTACTTACGCTCTTTTATATTGCTCTCTATGTTTAAATATTAACGCACTGGCCACTTTCCTTGCTCTTCACTTTACCATAGGAAATGCAGAAAAATTACCAAGTCTGAGCAGAAATGCATCAGCGATGAGAACATTATCATATGTATAAAACTCAGACAGCTACTAGAAATGCAAACAGATCCTTCAGACATGCTGACTTGAAAATACCACTCATACGTAGTTGTCCATGTCTGGATTTTAACATTAAACATATCATTGACAAGTATTCTATGTACATATTTTTTAATAAAAATATACTCTTAGTGAGTAACTTTTTTGTTCATCAGATGCTTTTTTCCCCCCATCAAATATTCCAACATCTTTTTGTGTTAACTGTTCTCATTTAGTTAAAATAATAAAAAGTTTCTTTTTAACGTTACAATGTAATTAAACTTGCTAATCCCAGTTCCCATGGCACCCTCAGCAGCCTTCCAAGAGAGGATTTATTTCCCCTTTCCCTAGTTTGCTTTGCGGCTCTTGCGCAGCTCAAACGCCAGTCCTGACGCTAGAGGTGGAGGCATGAGCACACCGTTCCCTCTGCCAGCCCGGCCGCAGGGGTGGCAGCTCCTGGCAGAGAAGCAAGAGCAGTAGACACCAGGCCGCTGCATCTACGAGTCATCCCGAGCCTTGCTGAAAGTCAGGAGGATTTAGGATAATGTTTTCCAATGCAGTTTTCAGTTTCACCTACGTCAGGGAGACCAGGTTGCATCCTGACCGCACTGCGTTACTGTTCCTTGCGAGGAACCCCGGCAGAACCTTCGCACGGGTAGCTTTGCTCTGTGTGACCTGCCCGGCTGGAGCTGGCAGTACCCCACTCCCCGTATAATCACACTTCAAACCTCCCACCAACATGGTGCGTTGAATACGCTGGTATTGCCATAGAACAACTTGAAAGTCTGTCCTCTCTGAAAATTAGGCTCATTCAAAATCTGACTGACATATGCTACTTTCCAAACTTACGTAGCAATGGCTATAATATTGCTTTTTAAACAAATGTAGGAACACTATACTGTAAAAAGGTAGACTGAATCCTGTTGGCTACAAATACGTCTGTTCTCTAGTCACAACATCTTCCTGCTTTCCCTGTGCCATTAATGAATTCCATAGATACCCAGAACTCTGCAGAACATTCTTGTTTTCTTCATACTCTTCTCTAAATATTCTTCTTGGAATTTTTTTTTTTTGGTTATGTAAATGGATTTGTGGATATCTAAATCCACGTGCAAAGTCCACTTTTATTTGTATGTTTCTTATTTCCTATTATCTACTTTCAAACTATACTTGTAAGGTACTATCCACCCCAGATACTGAGAGCCAGAAAAGCATGCAAGTCACTAGAATCAAGTTGGTTTCTACAAGAATTTTAAAATATATTTCAAACAAGCTTCATATGCAAGATATAAAATAATTTAACCTACCTCTTGTAACTCATGTCCCCTTATGCGAACAGGCCAAATGAATTTTAGATTTAATTTAAATACAAATTAAGTGAGGAGATTACAAAATTAATAATCTTCTCATTGTGTATGGACATTCTCACTTAAACTAATTTAAGCTAATTTAGTCCATACCTATTTTTCATCTAAAAAACCTCTTTCCTTCCCAGGTGAAATATCAGTTTCTTTAGAAGATGATGAGGATGCTCCAGGAGATCCACTACTTTTTATGTCACATGTCAGACCAGTTCAACTAGGTATAGTATGATGGCACAGAGTGATCAAAAACTAAAAAGCAGCATCGCCGTCAGAGCACTTACTGATAGCTTGACTACGCCGTCATTCTGTTTCTGATCAACATAGCTTTAAAATAGCCACTCTCTTACACCATCTCCTTCCCAGTTTTAGCACTCCGCAGTCTCATGCATCGCTCGATGCTGCCCACTGTCTATGAGGTAACTCCCGCATGACCACCATTCACATTCAAAACACATCCCATGCTATGGCTTAATCACATTAACCACATTAGCTATATTGATTTTGTTAAATGCTAGTGGAAAGTATGCCAAATGCTAGTCTGTGATACCCACGTCAACTTGTGGATCTTCTCCAACTCGTGTAATTTCTGCTTAAAGCAGCATGAGTGAATGGCCTGAGCCAGGAGAGATAGGCAGAGGTAAGACCTGTCCCACCGAGCAATCCAGATGTGCAGTGGTCTTCAAAGCCGCTGTATCCCCTCTCCAAGCAAGGGGTGGTGAGCAATACTTAGTCCAATCAGACATACAACTCATCTGGAAACCATCCTAGGGCCTTTTCTCTCACGTCTCCCTGCTGCTGTCTGGTAGTGAAGAATCAACCGCTTTGGAAATACAGATAGATGAAATACTCCCAGTAAGACTGAGCAGACTACATCAGACCTATCTGATGTCAGCAGTTGTCAACTGTGGCAATTCCTACAGTTGCATTCACCTATAAACAAACATTTTCTTCCACTCCCTCAGGAAGAAATGAAGAAAGCGTAATTGATATGTCACCTGAAAACTACCCTCCTCAACAACATATCAGTGAGCAGGCTGCTGCAGAGGTCCGATTAACACAGGACTAACAGGGAAGAAATTGCTATCTGTTAGTACAGCTTTTTCACAACTAGAATGAATTATGGAGACTAGCAAAGATTGCCTCTATCTGGGACAAATTTGTCCCCAGCCAGGTTATGATACACAAGTGTGCTCCACTGAAGCTGTATGTGCAAGCAAAGGTCAGATATTTTTGCCATCACACAAAACTCGGTGACTATTAAGTATCCAACCCCTGTAACCTGGCTTGCCCTTTTAGAATAAGACACTTGCAATGGCATTTATCACTTCAGTACGATTGCAGAAAGCTGTGTCAGTTACTGTGTGCTTTCATGTTTGCTCTCTTTGATGAAGCAATGGAATTGTGGTTTTTTTTTAAATAGTTATTTTTGCAAAGATTTAGAAAATTGCATGAGAAACCACTTTCCAAATTAATTTGATAAACAAAATGAGGTCTTAGAGCAAATTAATAATTAGAAACAAGGAAACATTAAAAAACTGCAAGACATCATATTTTAGTGTTTTAAGTAATTGCATGGCATTCTTTACCTCCTAATACTAAAAAATAAAGTTGAAGACTGGAGCAAATAAAAAAATACATTAGTCCTGCAGAGTAAGATAACTCAAACTTTAATTTTTGCTAAAACGCCCCAAATACTTTTGATTGCCCTGCACTGAGAAAGGGGGAGGTTCTATATGATGAGAATTGGGTTTGTTATCTCACAAATATTTGTGTGTGACTTAAGGCAAAAGTTTCCATTCCTCGGCTCCCCACAAAAGGGAGCTTTGTTGAGAGTTAAGGATCGGATTTTTCAGATCCTTACCCAGTTTAAAGCTCTGCATGTGTGCAAAACCAAAAGTATGACATGAATGCAGAAAGTTAAGTCTTGATGCTAGTGTCAGTGACTCAAGGCCCAATCTATTATTGTGCTGATACAACACTTTGTATCTTCCAAACAGCACTCTTCTTCTCTTTAATGTCTGAACGACAAAACGGCTCACCGCGTTATTCTCAAAGGTGTTACAAGTAAAAGTTCAATATATTGGGGAACAGAAGAAAGCAATGTTCCTCTCACATTAGTTAAATGTACATCCGCTATCTTGATAACGGTTTTCAAAGGAAGGCAAAAATTATGTCAGAATTAAGAAAAATGCTGACAAATAATCAGTAGCTTGATTTTTAATGTCACCTCTGCTCCATCTTTCTCTGGAGAGACTAGTCATGAGGAACTAGCATACTTCATTCTCATTCTGTCTGTCCTTTCCCCCCCCCCCAACCACTGAATGCAGGTAACGCATATCTGTGTCTCTCCCCTACCCCACACAATGCAGGTAACCCAACGTCAGCAATAGAGGCTTCCAAAACACCGGCTTTTATTCCAACAGTAGCAAATGAAGGAGGAAAACACTGGACTGTTAATGAAGTCAGAGCTTTGATACGCATATGGTCAGACAAAAATATCCAGCAACAACTGGAGGGGACAGTGAGAAATAAAAGAATATTTGAACAGGTTGCTGCTAGACTTCAAAAGTTCGGAATTGACAGGGACTGGAAGCAGTGCAGGACAAAATATAAAAATCTGAAACATGAATACAAGAGTGTAAAAAGTGCCCAAGACTCAGGGAGTGCAAGTAAAAGTATGAAATTTTTTAATGAACTGGATGCTATTCTGGGGCACGGCACCATGGAACATGCAAGTAAATCAGATAATGATGAAAGTGAGAGGCCTCCAGAATGGACAGAAGCAAAATCAGAAAAGGACTGCATAGGTAAGTACTTCATACCCATATATCATTTAAAATTTTTAGTTTTCCAGCACTAGAGAGACCTTAAAAGAACAATAGCAACAAAAAAAGTGCAACCAGCCAGATTAAACAATTTGCTGGGGGGGGACACACCGACCCCGAATGGAAATTTTCTATTTTGTCCAGCTGTTCACTTTACATTATAAGGTAATCTTTGAGATTGATTCTTTTTGTAATAGAATTGAGAAACAAAAAGAGGGAAAAAGATGAAGATGTAAAGTGGTGCAGAGACCATTCCAGTAAAAATCATGGCGGAAGAGACCAGCTTAGATAAAAAAATAGATGAGAGATGGTCAGCCTGCATTACTGGAAAAATGAAGACATTGAGCAAAACAAGTCTGTAGTTATAGACTTTGGTTAAAAAAATAACATTTAAACTGTCTTTCTCTTATGGCCCCTAGTACCCCAGTTTTACTGGCCTTTAGAGCAAGACTCTCAAACTAGTGAAACAACTATTGTGAAAATAGCACCA